ATATATATATATATATATATATATATATATATAGTAAACATCAAGTATTTTTAGACATAAAAATATTTTATTGCATATTGCAAATTTTTTTAAAATTAATAGATAATATTTTTCAGATTACGAGATAAAATTATTCAAGATTTGATGAAAAGACTAAGCCAAACAAACAAGGTAAACGATTTGCTTAAGAAACAAGTAAAACGATTGCAAAGAGAAAAGACAAGAGTTACGAAACGTGTAATAAAAGAAAATGTTCATAATGTGCTCAAAAGGATATTCACTCCGAAGCAAATTGACGTTTTAATGAGTAATGAAAGAAAAAAAAGAGTAAAGTGGGGTCTTGAAGACATATCTGCTGCAATAATGTTAAGAAGCTTGAGCCCAAAAGCATATCGTTTTTTAAAAGAAAATCACTACCCGTTACCAGGATTATCCACACTTAGGAACTGGGCATCTCGCGAGTTAAAAGAAGGAATTTTATCTGATGTTGTCTTTTTAATGAAAAAGAAAGCGCCATCGTTGCAGTTGCATCAAAAACTTTGCATTATATGCTTTGATGAAATACATATTTCTCAGAAAATGGAAATAGATAAAAAGAAAGAAAGAGTCATTGGGTCACACAAGACTACAAGACAGTGCAAGTTGGTATGGCCAGAGGTCTATTTGATAAGTGGAAACAAACTATTTTTTATGACTACGATAAACCTCTTAGTAAGGATATCGTAAATAATATAATATCAGAACTGTATGAAGTTACTTACATTGTAGTTGCTTTTACATGTGATTTAGGCCCAACAAATGCTAAAGTTTTGAATGATATGAACGTAGGAATTAAAAGTTCACAAAATTCTTATTTTCAACATCCATCTAACGAAGAGTACAAAGTTTTTGTTTTTAACGATGCACCTCACTTGTTAAAGTTAATAAGGAATCACTTTCTGGATAATAGCTTTCTTGTAAATGGAAAACTTGTTTCAAAGGACTGCATAGAAGAAGCTTTATCCGTAAATGAAAACAGAGATTTAAAAGTTCTTTTCCCAATCACTCAAAGACATTTAGATGTTTCCGGATCAAATAGACAAAGGGTATCTACAGCTGCTAAACTTTTCTCCAAGACAACTGCACGAGGTGTTTTATGGTGTGGTGAACACGGTTTTTTAAGTCAAGATAATTATGATGTGACTTCTGAATTCATGGAATCAATAGATGCATGGTTTGATGTATTTAATAGTAAAGTATCCAGAGGATATAGACCTGGTAAAGAACCTTATGGATTAAATTTAGAGCGCCAGAATGAAATTTTAAGTAAAGTGACAAATACAATGCTTACAATGAAAGTTGGAAATCACAAGTCATTACTGCCGTTTCAAAAAGGAGTTATTCTAAATAATAACTCTCTTCAACAGTTGTTGGTGTACTTGCAACAAAATTTTAATACATCAACTTTTAAAATATCTTTTATTTTAACGAATCGGTTGACGCAGGATTGCTTAGAAAATCTTTTTTCATACCTAAGATCTATGGGTGCAACGAATGACCAGCCATCAGCCTTGAATTTTCGATATAGGTTAAGATGGTATATCTTAGGAAAACATTCTAGTGATATACTTCCTGAAAAACGGAACACCGAAAAAGATGAGGATTTTACCTTGATAGATTTCAACGACAGAACAGATGCAATGATGGCATATGCCTTAGAATCTACGGAAGGAGAGCAACAAGTTGAACTAGTTGAAGTTGATGAAGAAGCTGCTTACTTTAACGCTGAACTGAACGAATTCGATTTTATTGATCAAGGGTTAGATGATACGGGTATATAAGTTCATAGATATAATAATCTAATTTAATTTTAAAACATAATTTTGTATTAATAATATATTAATGCAAAATTATATTTTACAATTAAAATAGAATTGTTATATAATTAAAATGTTATATTACTTAAAATTTTATAATAAAGTGATATAACGTTTTCATTAGAAACAAAAATATTGTTTTAAAAAATAATTACATTTATCTATTTATTACATTTTCTTCATTTGCACAAATAGAATATATTTATCGCTTCAATATAGTTAATCATGAAATAACAAATGTAATCATTTATCAAAATATTTTTAACAAAAATTAATGGTGAGAAGATCAATATTTTTACTGTTTACATTATTGCATTGACTATTTGCATTTGAAAATTATGCGCTTACGATGAAAAAAATTATTCTCCATATAGTACAGAGGATTATATTTAAATTATGTACATAATTATACGTTCATATTTTATAAGTATACGTACAATAATTGAATAACATGCGTTATTAATAGAAATTTTTATTGTAAAACTTTAAATTTCATAGATGTTATTTTTAGGATTTTTAATTATAGTTTTATTGCATTTTTTAATTAAAACTTTATTTTTATCTTTACTGTAGATGATTTTCCTCAAGATCAACAGAGAATAATTGAAGTTGAAGATATTATTGAACGTGAAGCTGTTACCTATATAGTAGGTCACGTAGCTTATAGGTTTCGTATGCAATATAATTTCTTAGGAGACTATACGAAAAATGTTGAATTTTCACCGCATAAGCCTGATTGGGTTTTAACAGTATCAGATGGTCATTCGATTTATCCCTCTGATCATTTCATTGAAGCAGCGTTAATTATGAACAAGATTTTTGAAGAATTTTACGGAACTTCTGGCTTATCTAAAAGTATGTGGATTTTTAAGACTGTAACTAAATTAACAATGGAAAAAATACCAGAAGAGTATGGTATACCTGAAGAAGTAATATTATGTCTTGTTCGTACAAAAACGTACATAAGATTGCGAGAAATTAATAAGAAATTAGTGTCTGATGTAAAAAAAAAACGTTTATACAAAAAAGTTTCAAAATTCATGTATTGAAATCTGTAATATCAGCGTGCCACATATGTTCATTTTTACATATCAATTTCTTGTATACTATTCAATAATAAACTTATTAAACACAACTTCTCGTGTTATTAAAATAAAATATTTATTACATTTATATTGAAATTGCTGTATTTAAATAAACCCATCTTATATCGACAATGTTTTTAAAACTTCAGAAAATTATTTACTTTTTCCTCATACATCTATTATATTGTTCAATTCATGCTTATTTTACATTTATTTTAATATTTCTTTATATATAATTTTAACATTTTTTACTTAAAATTAATTATTACATGAAATAAAATTGCATTATATGCAGAACAGAAAAAGAACTTAATTCTCATTTAAAAAACCGCGGGCCTAATTCTATTGGCCAATAAACCAATATGTCTCCAGCTTGGCCCAACGCACTCATTGGTTATTAGAGAGGATGCGCAACAGCATACCTTGTTTTCTTTCTACCATGCTCACGACCAACTCGAGATTGCCAACTGCTTACGCATTCAGTCGATTGACTGCGTACATAGATGCTCACGGAATCATCCGAGTTGGCGGCCGCCTCAATCAATCATCATTGGATCAAAACCACAAACATCAAGCGATTTTACCTCGCCACTCACGGTTCTCAACCTTACTCATCGCTCACGCCCACCTGCGCACCCTGCATGGAGGAACTCAGCTGACATTGGCCCATGTCAGGCAACAATACTGGATCATCGGCGGACGGGCTCCGGTGAAGTCTCATATCTTATCGGTGTGTCGTGTGTGCTTGGCAGAGGGGGATCCGTGCTCATCAACTGACGGGCCAACTACCTCTCTCTCGGGTTACGCCGTCACGTCCGTTTGCTCATACAGGAGTCGACTATGCCGGACCACTCACCATCAAGATTTGGAAGGGACGAGGTGCGAAAACATACAAGGGATGGATCTGTGTTCGTCTGCTTCTCCACCTCCGCAATTCACCTCGAAGTAGTCAGTGACTACTCATCAGAACGATTCATAGCAGCCTTCCGAAGATTTTCAACGAGAAGGGGAATTGCTCAGACCATGTATTCGGACTGCGGGACAACCTTCATTGGAGCAGACGCCGCGCTCAAGAAAATGTTCATCTAGGGCTCTCAAGAACATCAACGGATTGCTAAAGTTTTGCAACTTAATGGCACAAGATAGGAGTTCAACCCACCAGGCGCTCCACACATGGGGGGCAAGTGGGAAGCAGTGGTAAAATCCGTGAAGTTTCATCTGAGACGGACTATCGGGGAAACTCTACTCACGACGGAAAAACTTACAACGTTGCTTACGCAAATCGAAGCCATTCTCAACTCGCGCCCTTTAGAACCGTTGAGTGACGACCCTGAAGACGTCTCAGCGCTCACACCAGGTCACTTTCTCATTGGAGGTCCACTCACTACCATACCCGAGCCATCTCTGAGTGACCTGGCCACCTCGCGACTATCTCGGTGGCAGCTCATCCAGCAGCGTGTTCAACATTTTTGGGCACAATGGTCGGCTCATTATCTGCAACGCCAGCAGGCGATATCCAAGTGGCATCATCCTAACAACAACATCACATGGTGGGTTCCATCGTGCTGCTCACCGACGAACGCTCTCCACCGTGCAAATGGCCACTCGCCAGAGTAACAACTTTGCACCCCAGCAAGGATGGACTCACCAGGGTGGTTACCCTCAAGACGGCCACCACGACACTCACCCGGCCAATTGCCAAGCTTGCCATATTACCCATTTTAACAGGTTAAAGGATCAAGAGTAAGGAATCATCAACAAGGTTGCTGATGGCGGGCGGAATGTTCGAGATTCCGTTCACGTTGCGCCGTCCGATCAGATGGCAGCATCGATCGGATATCGACGGGCCGGATCTACGCGGCAACTTGCGCAAGCACGGGCGCGCTCATCGCCACCTTCTTCCTCGCGACACACGGAGTCGTAAAAATGGCCGCGCTGTGATCAGACGTACGACGTGTGCTCTGTGCTTTTCTCGAGGAATACTCGAATTGAAGTGCCCATCGCAGTAATTGAAACTGCTGGGAGACTAGCTAACGTATGAAAGAGACCGCTCAGCCAGCTCTGGTACATCAACACGACGACTCAGGCTCACACGTGCGCGAGTGCCGACCGCCACGTGTCTCACCGGCTCACGGGCTAATCATCACGAGGAGGGCAATTAATATAATTGTCCCGCGCATTCACGGACAATTTAAAGACTTCTCATTTATACACCGCTCATCGTTTCTCAGGTCAGATTGTATATTTTTCGACGCATTAAAAACGGCTCAGAGTGGTCTGTGGTCTGAGTTGACACATAAATAAAGTGAATAATTCGTTAACACACCTTCCACGCGCGTCCTTCTCATCCCGCTTCCATCGCCAGGAAAAATCAGCAATTTCGCGAACAATTTGCTTTTTTTACATGTTTATAAGATACTACAATTTTACATGGAAATTAACAGACCTTCAACCAAACCTTCAACCTTTCCATGGAAAGTAAAAATTAAGGCTCCTGGGTAGTCACCGCGGCCATATTGTATTCTTACTATCGAGGCGAGGAAAGCATCCAATTTTGTTGTGCATACCATTTTTAAATAAAAAGACATTTCAATAAAACATCACTATAGATCGTTTCAGAACACTTCCAAAATTGGCCGAAAACTACCCTTTTCTCTCGACAATAAACAAACAGCCATAAAACAAAGCCTAAACATACGGGAAAAACAGCCGTTTAACGACTATCGAAAGGAGGTGAAAACGTTTTTTCCACATGCAAATCTTACTTTTCGGCCAATTTTACGACTTTCACGAATACGTTAAACGTTAGAGCACAAGCACAGAGCAAATAATAAAGAAATAGCACGCACAACAAAATAGGTTGTCAACATGTCACAAGACAGAATTCTCCATTGGAAAGAGTGAGAGGAGAGAGTGGCGTCGCCACCGTCAACGCAGAGTTCTCGGCTCAGGGACCAGGAGCCTTAATATGTCAATTAAAAAAATTAAGTATCTTATGCAAAATTAGAAAAAAAAAGAAAACTTAAAATAATATATAAGCGATAAGAAGTGCCGTTTTTGGTCGAAGCGGATCTTGATGCTTAATAATATTTCACAATATCAATTATTATTAAATACATATTTCAGTTTTTTAAATTGGCACTGCGTGCCAATATGGAGTTTGTTGGACTTAAAACGCAATTGTGTAAACTGAAACTAAAATAATATATTTTATATTAATTTGATATTGTCAAGTAAAATAATATACTATTAGAAGAATATTTATAACAGTTATACAAATTTATATGGATAGATCCATTATAGAGTATATGACGTGAGTATATTCATATATGATTATCTTTAACCTTATAAATATACTTTCACATGATCACACATGAAAATATACTAGTATATAAAACCATATATGACTATATAAAGTTATATTTAAAGAGATTTAGCCATATAATATTGTTTAAGATTATATTTCCATTTCTTATATGACCATATATAATTATATATTTACTAATATGAACAAATAAGAGGTATTTTTTCCCGAGTATATAATCATATATTCTTATATATGGCCATATAATATTGTTTAAGATTATATTTTCCATTTCTTATATGATCATATATAATCATATGTATCTACTAATATGAACTAATGTAAACTAATATGAATAAATAAGAGATTTTTTCCCGGGTTATGCGGTTTTAAACATGTGTGTATGTGGTGCTGGGTAAGGTTTTTTTTATAATGACTTGCTTTTTATTTTACAGATAAGTTAGAATAAAGAAGTTTTTTTCTTTTTGTAATCGCGCGGCGCGATGTTGGCCCAATAGGTATATTTTGTAATATAATAATAATTCACCCGACATTAAGAAAAAATTATATTCGTATATCCGATTCAAAATTTTATTACTTTTTTTAAACTAAATTTGTTTCTTAAGAATTTTTGAAAAATTATATATTTGCGCTGGTTATGACACATGTAGACTATATATAACACTTACATCAAATTAAGAAGTAGTTTACCACGTAAGACGGTTGTCTCACGATCCAGAAGTCCCGAGGTCTCGAGTTCGAATCCCATCAAAGTAAGTGTGTTTTTCACTTGGTTTTTCAAGTACGAGAAAATATTTATAATCATAGGTTGCATCTTAAGAAACAAATTTAGTTAAAAAGTAGTAATAAAATTTCAAAATAAATATAATTTTTTTTTATGTCGGGTGAATTTCCTTATTAGAGTGTTTTAATTTTAGTATTTCCTTGTATTCTACTGTACTCAAATAGAAATAGATATAGAAATGTGTAGAATATCAGTATTAGTTGTAGTTTGGCGTAGTTTTACTGAAAAATTTATAGATCAAGATGCACTAAAAAAATACAAAAATTTACAAAAGTGTTCCAATTCTAGCATTTTCATGTAGAATTTTGTAGTACTTCTTAAATTCATGTAAAATTTAATAGATTCTGGCAATTATATTTTATAGTTTTTTGTAGTACACTTTTATTTTTTTTTAAATTTTGTATAAATATTTCCGCCAGGAAAAGCGCTACTCAACACTTTTTAATGAAGAATGAACGACGGCTAAGTTATAAGGAAAAGTTATTTGGGATCATGTCCTTGACAACATATGTCAAGCTCAAGGTCATTGGGGCTGGTTCCCCTATACAGGCTGTACAGTCGCCGCCAATGATTCCTTTCCTGAGGTATTCTTATGTTCCCCCCTTATCCGAGGAAAGGAATCATTGGCGGCGACTGTACTAAATAATTACCAAAATATGCTTTTTTAATAAAAAAGTACTGTCTATCTTTTTAAAAAAAATATTATACAGTATGGAAAAATACCTACTATATTTTTTTGTTATATTCCTATAACCTATTAAGTTATTCATTATTGAGCCATATCATATAAGTTTAGTTTTATAGTTGTTTTTCATTTTTATAGTTATTTTGTCAAAACTGAACTGTCAGTTTTATAATAAATGTTTTAAAAAAATACTTATTTCAGTTTTCTATTTTAACTTAGCTGTCTTTTACAATAATTATATATATATATATATATATATATATATATATATATATATTTATACATATATCTTTTACAATATATATTTAATATAAATATTATCATAAAACAAAAACAATAAAAATAAAACTGACAGTTCAGTTTTGACAAAATAACTATAAAAATGAAAAACAACTATAAAACTAAACTTATATGATATGGCTCAATAATGAATAACTAATATATAGTATATATATATACTATATATATACTATATATATATATATATATATATATATATATTTTAAAATAATATAAATATATATATGAGCTAAAATTAGAAATCTGATATTAATCTTAGCTTGATAACTTGAAACATGCAACACGTATTTATAATGCCAATTTAAACTAGAATTATTTTAGTTTCTTAATGATCAATTTTCTAAATGTTCATTATATTCACATCTAGATAGTATACTTTAATAATTTGTAATTAAAATTTTAACAAACTTGTAAGAAATAAAACATTTACTAACATGGCAAATTATTTACTCATTTTAGAAGACCTTTCTCTATGTAGTGTTTTTTTGATGTTTGTTTCATCCCTTTTATTCGATAATGCTTTAGTTATTGATTGTTAATTTCTTAATTTATTTTTTTCATTTTG